TTGTACAGTGATGTAGTTGTACAACCTTACAATTCGCTATTGACTTTAAAACGACTTGCGCAAAGTGCAGATTGCGTCGTAGTCTTAGATAATACTGCATTAAATCGGATTGCTACTGATCGTTTACACATAGAAAATCCATCATTTGCTCAAATTAATTCATTAGTATCTACAATTATGTCTGTTTCAACCGCTACTTTAAGGTAATATGTTAATTTTTGCTACTTKTACATATTATTTAGAATATTGAACTTAAGTTTTGATCTTATTTAGATACCCATCTTACATGAACAATGATTTAGTTGGTCTCATTGGACCTTTGATACCATCACCACGTTTACACTTTCTTATGACAGGTTACACCCCATTAACAACTGATCATGAGGTACTTCAACTATTTTTTTTTAATTTAAAAGAATCTATTCATATATATTAAATAATATGTTATCTGTATTAACTTGGATTATATTGTAAATAGGATGCTAATATTCGTAAAACGACAGTATTTGACGTGATGAGACGGTTGTTACAACCTAAAAATATGATGGTGTCCACAGCACAAGAAAGATCTACCATACCACATTGCTACTTATCTATATTAAACATAATCCAAGTATTTACTATATATATTTAGTCAATAAATTAAGGTATGAAAGTAATGATTAATATTTATAAAATTACAGGGCGATGTTGATCCTACTCAAGTATACAAATCACTGCAAAGAATTAGAGAAAGAAAAACTGTAAATTTCATTAATTGGGGTCCATCCAGTATTCAAGTTGCTCTTTCTAAAAAGTCACCTTATGTTCCCACTGCACATCGTGTATCTGGACTTATGTTAGCCAATCACACAAGCATATCTCAAGTAGATCTTAAAAATTAAACTAGTATAATTCAAAATGGAATATTTATTGTTACATATTTTTTCAGCTTTTCCAGAGAGTCCTGGATCAGTATGATAAACTGCGACACAGAGAAGCGTTTTTAGATCAATTTCGAAAACAAAATATGTTCAAAGATGACCTATGTGAAATGGATGATTCTAGAGCTGTAGTTCAAAACCTTGTAGATGAATATTTGGAAGCCACAAAGGACACATATCTTCAATGGCAACCTGTATGTACATAAATTAAAACAATTTAGTGAGCTATTTTGTAAGAAATTTTTAGTAATTAAGAGTATTGGTACTATTGCTTATTTAATGCAATTGTATCATTAATAAGTAATAACCATGTTTAGGTATGGTGTTGTTTATAAAAGTTTAAGAAGCCTAAAAATATTTATTTATTAGTGATTTGATTTTAATTATGTTAGTATTTTATTGTGTATACAATTTTTTTATTTTAGTAGATCTAATTTGTAAAACAAACTAGACTATTTTAAATATTGTAAAACCAAAATAATTTTATATTTTAATAAGTTTTTTTTTAACAAAATCTTAAATACTGAGACGACTATGTCTCGCTTTTTAAATTTGTTTTTTCAACTATTTTAGTTGTTGTAATAATAATATTAAAAACTTAATTTGGTTTGAGACTAGTTTTTTTAATGTCTCAAATACTTCACTGAAAAATACATATTAAAAATTAGATATTTTGTTCACCACATCAAAATTAATAACGATTTCAAGATTTTGTCAAGTACTTGTCATACTTCAGCTCATGTTTAAAAATTATTTTCAAAGATTTAATTATATTCTTTATTTTCAGAAAAATGCTGTCAAGAATTAACAGAATCAAAAAGTTCATTAATTTACTATTTAT